TTTGTGTGCGTGTGCAGTAATGTACCTCATGGCCAACCCAGGCGGGTTCACAGTGTTTGGGTGGAGAATAGATCGAGCCCTGGTGAATACCATCTTCTTTCTGGAGGTATCACTGGCTATGTTTGTGCTGGGAAAGACCATTACTTTCCCTTCCCTGTGACTCAATTTGGGATGGTCAATAGACTTCAAAAAATTCAACAGCAAAAACAATGGGGAGTTTCTTCGTTTTGTTCTGTCCACCATTGAGATGCTCTTTTTTTTTTTTTTTTAATGTTTCAGTGGCGGGACAACTACGTGCTGAACTCTAGGCTGTTTTTTTTTAATAAAGTTGATATAGAATTATTTTTTTTTAATACTATTCATGGGATTTAAATCTGTGATTTTCAGATTCAAAGCTAATGATATTATTACTAAATTAAGTCCTTATTCGAGAGTATCAGGCTATTTTTGTGATGAGTGATACCGATTATGATATAGTTATAAAGAAGCACTATGTTCAAAGCTCGCGCTTCGCGCAGGTTGTTCTATTCTTATTTGATTAATGTTTGTATTTTGTAAATATGATAAACTGATATAATGTAATTTTCAATGTGAAACGGTAAATAAAACAATTTCATCTACGACCGATTCAAAAAAGAGTGTTCAATCATACATAAGACCATGTTGAAACTACTGAGTTAAATTGTCATTAAAACACTATACTTCTTAGCTATGAGTGTAAATTGGACTCAATGACCAATGGGGTCCCAGATTCCAAAATCGGACTCTTTGCAAAAACAAAATATTAGTTCAATATCCTGAAAACTCACAAACATTGTCAATTGCTAAGGATTCAAATCTAAAAAAACGCATTGATGGAATACGCGGCATTAGTCGACTTTAGTTTAACACTTGGAAAACTCACAAACATTTTTCAATCAATAAGACTTCGAAAACGAAAAACACATCACCTGAATATTCTTATCGAAATGCACATTGATCTGGGTCTAATTGTACACATTTTATCATTTCCGTTAGGGGTGGTTTTACGCTAGGTTTCTTGTGTTTCAGTGTGTTTCAGAGTCTAATATGTGAAACCAACCCCGGAGTCGAAAGTTGGAAGAAAAGGAGCAAAGACAGGACAAAGAGGAGGATTCAGCTGATGTTCACGGTCCGACAATGGAGTTCACGGTCGCCAGGACCGTAAACTAGAACCACAACCCGTGAACCGCGAGGCGTCAAGAGGGCTTTTTGTGGTTAATAACGCCAAGGCTGTTCACGGTCGCTAAGACCATGAACAGGAACCACAAACCGTGAACCCCAGAAGTGAAGCGATGCATTTTGGTTCAGTTCACTGTGTTCACAGACGCATCTTGATGTTCACGGCCGTGAACTTGGGCCGTGAACTGGGCGCGATCTTAGTACAAAAGGTCAGCTGAAAGGAAGAAAAAAGGAGAGACCTAGTGTGAGAAACTTCTTCAGATTTCTAGAGTGAGAAAGTGACGAACCAAAGAAGAGGGGAAGCTAGGGTTTCATCGTCAAGCAAGGAATTGGGAATTCCTCCCCCAAAGGAGGATCTCTTTAACACAAGGAGCAAGGCTAACATCTCTTTGATGGTTTTCCTTCTTCTCTCTTCTGTTTTCCCTTCTCCTAGCATGGAATAGTCCCTTCTTTCACTTGGGTGTTTGTGAACCCAAGCTGCTATTATATGAATGTTGGTATGAATTGAATGATTTGTGTGTGGTTGTGTTTAATGTGAATGTGGAGGTATTATTCATGAATGATTGTGTTATGTGAAAGCCTATCAATCTAATTGCCATTCTAACCTAGGTAGAGAGAACCCCCCCCCCCCCCTTCCTTTCTTTGAAAGAAGCTTGAATGTTGGGTTTTCTTAGGCCATTCATTGTCTCCTAGTTAGGTTGATGTAGGGAAAACCTCCTATTTCGTATTAGCACCTAGGGTTTGGTTGTGGGTGACCGCCCGAACTCCAATTCGAGGGTGAAGTCTAACCAATCCTTAGTCAATAGGTTGAGAGAGTCACATTAGTGGCTTGGATCGTATCCCCTTTCCTCAACCTATAGACTAAGAGTGTAACTTTGGCTACTTGTTAGACTTCCCTACGGTTTACAACCCCCTCACCCCACATGGCCATTCGATCCATCAAGTTGCAATTGATAGTTAGGGTGACGAACACCCGGGTGAAGCCTTCTCAATTAGTGTGAAAACCATTTCTCTTTGCAAGTACTTTAGCTTTAGATCTTTGTTTTCACCAAAACCATCCACTAGATAATGTTTCAAACAATCTAAGTAGCGGTACATGGGCCGGGCCGGGTTGATATTAAAACATACTTTCCCTATATTGCACCCATCTAAGGTTTATACTTGGGCCTTAGGTGGGATTTTATTGTGATAGTCGGAGCGAATCAAGTTTTTGGCATCGTTGCCGGGTACCTTCGGTCCGTTATCTTGAAAAGATTGTTTGGTGTTAATCTAGCTTTTATTTTCAGTTTTGTTAAGTGTGAAGTGTGCTTATGCTAGACGAAGTTGTGTTCTTTAAGTGTGTGTGTAGGGAGGTGCATGACCCAGGTGCATGAAGGAATTGAAGGAGAAGTTGAAGTTGAGATGGCGGGGAATCAACATCGAAGTGCTAATCTGCTTCAAAACCAAAATGAGGAAGCGGGAGCCGAGGAAGAGCCAAGGACTATGGGCTATTACATGGCTCCACGGGCGGCGGATATCCAATCTCCTATCTTACATCCACCCGTGGCCGCCAAAATTTTTGAAATCAAGCACGCTCTTGTGATGATGACTCAAAACAACGCCATATTCCACGGGCTTGCCAATGAATCACCACGAGAGCATGTCCAAAGGTTTCTTGAGCTTGCGGGAAACCTGAAGATAAATGGCATTGCAACTGAGGCTCTTCCCCTATTCTTTGGCGGGGAAAGCTCTCTGATGGCTCAACAACCATCCGACTTGATCCATCACCTCTTGGGAAGATTTACTCAACAACTTCATGACTCGATATTGTCCACCTTCAAAGACGGCCGAGTGGAGAAAGAAGATCACTCACTTTGAGCAAGAGGAAGATGAGACATTGAGGGATGCAGGGGAAAGATTCTCCAACTACTTCCTTCAATGCCCTTACCATGGATTCGAGGAGCAATTTCGGATAGAGACTTTCTATGGAGGACTCATCCAAGATGACAAGATTCTCATTGACTCTCTTTGCCAAGGGAAGTTGATAAACATGATCCCACCTAAAGTGACCGAGTTTCCCGAAGATATGGCTCTCAAGTGATATGATTGGGGCTTGAAAAGAACTGGGAAGAGAAGCACCGACAGAGGAGTGCAAAGTGTGGGAGCAAGTGCTCCACTTGAAGTGAAGCTTGACAAGTTAATCGAGGTGATCCTTGAGGACAAGAAGCAAAGAAAGAGAGCGGTGATGTCTTGTAATTGGTGATCGAGCACTAATCATGAAATTGCGGATTGCCAAGCGATGAAGGAAACAAGTACCCCCGAGGAGAAAGTGAGTTTCATTGCCAATTCTAGAGGGAACAACCCTTATAGCAACACCTACAACCCCAGGTGGCGCAATCATCCAAACTTCGCTTGGTCTTACCCTACCAATCCAAGACCTCCCAGTTTCCAAGGTCCAACGGGCAACTATCAACCTCGGCCAACTTTCATCCAACAAAGGCCTCAATTCCAAAACTCGAGCTTCCAACAACCATACCAAGCACAAGGTGGTCAAGGGTTCCAACAACAACAAAAAGTCGACAAGTTCTCTAAGCTAGAAGACCTTGTGACCACCTTTGTGGGTACAAGCTCTTAGAAGTTCGAGAAGATTGAGCAATTCATGGATGTGGAAACCTCAAAGTTTACCTCGGTTGAGGCGGGACTCCGAAGTCATCAAGCAAGTCTCCAAAACTTGGAAGTGCAAATCGGCAATCTTGTTGGATCCTTACCGAGAGACCAAAAGAAGCCCTACCCTCTCAAACCATTACCAACCCCAAGGATCATGTCAGGGTGAATGCAATTCATTTGAGGAGTGGGAAGGTGACTCCGGACGTAGTTTCCAAAGAAGTGAATGAGAAGGAAGACCCTCTACCTGAGGGTGGAGAAGAAGAAACCTCGGGAGAAAAGAGGGGAGTGGCGAGGAAGGCATCGCCAACGCCATTACCTGTGGCTGAGTACACGTCACCCCTACCTTTTCCCACGAGGGTGCACAAGGAAAGATTGGAAGTGGAATGTGGAGGTTTCATGGAGAAAAGAACAATATTTTTCATAGTAAGCAATTATAATAAAAAAAATATATCAAATTCCTAATCTCATTTCTCTCTTTCGCTCTTCCCCAATTCTCCCAATCCCAAAATTCTTCTCTTCTTAATCCCTAAATTCTCAAGTGGAAATTCTAGTTTTGATTATCAGGTATCGGAGCTAGAATAAGCTCGTCGCAGCTCTTCGATTCCGAGTGGTTCTAACTACAAGAGTTGCAACGACATGCTTAAGACCGACAACATCAGAAGGCATGAGTGAGGGCGACGAAGACGGAGGAGGCAGAGGAGCAGGGCGCAATGCCAACAAAGGCTGGTGGTGATCGCGCCAGGATGTCACCACAGTCGGCAAGGGCGAGCGAAGGGACAAACGGTAGCAGAGCGTCTGTGCGAAGCCGCAGGTCTAAGATGAGCCGCCGTTCATCTTGCTACATTAAGTAGTGGGGAAGTCCTCGACGGGAACGCTTTACCAAGTCAAACATTCAAGATATAAGGGGCAAAACATGTATAAATATGTCTGAATCAATAAGTTCCCTGAAACAATCTTATAGTCAAGGTTTTTTTTTTCTGTTTCTTTATGTCGATGATATGATAATTATTGGGGATTATCATGACAGATTTCAAGAACTTACTACATCTTCCAATGAAGCTTTTATCTCAAGGAACTTGGCAATGTCTTACTTTTTTGGCAATCTTCAAGTTATGAGGTGTGAAGTTCCGGCAGTGATAGTGTTTGGGGATTTAATGGTCGACATCGGGAACAATAATGTCATTTCCACTCTGCCAAAGGACAACTTCCAAGCCTACGATCGCGATTTTGATGGCGACTGGCCACAGGGAAGATTCTCCAACGGCAAGATCCTGCTAGAGTACATCGCTCAGGATTTTGGACTGAAGTCGCCAACGTCTCTGCTTACTTGGACCCTAACTATGGCATTACGGATTTCGCCACCGGGGTTGCTTTGCTCAATCCTCTAGTACTGGCGATGACAATGACACGACAGACGTCGAATTCCAATGAGAAAACTTACTTGAAAATTCCTATTTATTTTTCTAGTATTTTTTATTTTACTTCTTTAGTTAACACGTCGACAACTAACGGTCAAACTTCATAATTGATTGCTACTTAGTATGAATTTAACAAAATTACACAGTGAGTGACCACTGATAAAAGAAAATGTAAAGTTAGTGACTAATAAGAAAGAAAAATTGTGTGAGCGACAATCATGAAAATCATAAATTAAGTGACCAAACGTGTAATTTACCCTCCGTTTATAAAGTGGTCATCCAAATGATCAAAATTCATTAAAGAAGGGAGAATAGTAATTTTCGCACCCTTTGTCTTTTTTTTTTTGTTTTGTTTCTTTCACTATCACAGAATTTAGAGGAGAGAGAAGATACACTTGACTAATTATAAGATACTTTTTATAATGTCTCATGTTTGCTAATTGAGTCATATCTTTTTAATTTAATTTGGAATTTTAAAAAATTATATAGAAAGAACACATTAATTATGATCTACACAACGATATTCATTTTGCTATGTTTTGAGGAAAATAAAATTCGGTCTTCAAAACACGTGTTTCTTGTAATATTTTCACTTTCATGTCATAAGATTAATGTGAATGGTAAGACTAAGTCATTTTTGTTGTTAGCATTTGAGGTGATTTATTTAACCAATATATGTAATGATAAGATTAAATCATTTTTTGGTAAGAATAAATGGATTAGTTGATCAGAATATGGACTTCGTTTCTTGCATGGCTGGTTGGGAAAGGTCGGCTCATGAAGAGTGGGTTTTGAGTGATGCCCTTTTCAGGCCAAGTGTTTTAAACGTTCGTAGAGCTAAGTTTGACTTCTTTCCTCTCTATAATGTAGTTATATTATACCTAGCCCAATAATCTTTGAAATTTATAATGTTTTATGATGATGATGATGATGATGATGGTAGGTTTCTATCATCTTTGTAATGTTGATTAAAGTAATTGTGAGGGGTCCTATCTCCTTTTCGAGATCAATGTTATTACATAAAAAGCGGGATGGGAGTCGACCAAGAATCCCTGGAGAAAACTCAATAAACAAAAAATGTTAAGCTACACAAAGGTTTGTTCTTGTTTAAGAAGGGCTCCAGATAGGGTGCATAACCATGATTATGCACCTATCAGTAACTAAATTTGGACCCATGTTTTTAAGTAGGTCCAGAAAATCCAGATCTAAGAGTGGAAAATTAAATTGATTTTATTTTTCCCTTGTTTTCTTAATTGGTTCATATCTTTTTCGTTTTAACTCGAATTTCAATTTTTTGCACAGATGGAACGAGTTCGTTGTGCTCTACAAAATGAGATCCATTTTCAATATTTTTTTAGAAAAAAAACTTTCATGCCTCTCGTTGCCAACTGCATACCATATGAGATCTTTTTCGTTTTGAACTCGTTTTTGAAATTTTTTGCACAGAAGAAACGAGTTCATCATGATCTATTGGATCTACAAATTTCCGGGTGAACAAAATACAGGACCAAAAAATACCACACAATACCATACAATACCACATTGGTACGGGGTGGTATCTTGTGGTACATAATGTTAAAATTCACAAATGACACTCCTACCATCATGTATTCAACCATCCTACAGTCTTGGTATATTCATGCCACCATGGTACGCTTTATGCCATATGGTATGCTCTTATTTCAATACCAGTCAATACCATATGGTATAGACGGGTACAAAACGATTCAATTTTTTTTTTCTAAAAAATATATCAAAGTGAATATCATTTTGAAGAACACAATTAATCTGATCTAACTGTGCAAAAATAAATAAATTTCGACTTAAAACGAGTGAGAAATCGTTCGTTAAAGATTAAGCGGGAAAAATTAAAGAATTTACAGTAAAAAGAAGGGGCGCTGATTTGGCGAATGGTGATTGGCTTATGCATAGTTATTCACCACAAGATTATTGATGAGATTAGCTCTTTTCCTTTTGGTAGTTTCACTTTTTTGTTTATTGAATTAATATAAGGGGGTTGATATCCATAATTAATAATTGGTTTTTGATAAGTAGTCTTTCCAGAAGTTTCAATTGCAAAAAATTGTATGTTCCAGCTTTGAACTCAATGGAGTGTCGAGTGACTTTGGTTTGCTAGCCCAAACAAACACACGCCCTTAAATTCACACTGCTTTCGAGTGCCTTTGGCTGGTGTTCCAATGAAAAAGAGATAGAAACTTGTTGGGGCCAAGTCACACACATTTATTCATTCATTCATGATCATCAAAGTGAAAACAAGAAGGGTTAGTAGAAACAACAATGAATAGATACACACAGCACAGAAACACGAGCAAAGCATATAAGCCATAGAGGAAGCAGGTCACAGTTCCCCTCGGTCAAGAGGAGAAGACGATGGCTCCCCCGCCGCAGTTTCTGAAGCGAGTACCACGGGCGCAGGGGAAGATGCGGGAGCCATCTTTGTGGACGCACAGCCAAATCTCATGGATCTGCTTACTGATGGTGCGCCTTCTCCTGACGTTGTTGCAGCTGATGACGGCACTGTAACGGCCCAAAGCGTTCCCAAATCTGTTGCGCGCGTACAACTGGTTGTCGGGCTGGATGCCGTTGCTTCGCAGCTCCCGCAGCAGGTCGACGCCGGATGCCCTGTCCACTGTGGCCCGGAAGTACCTCTGCAGTGACCAACCGGAGCAGGTGCCGTGCTTGTTCCATTCATAAGTCCAGAATTGGCTGTTGCCATTTCCTCTCCTCACACGTTTCAGGTTCGGCCACTGCCTGTCCATTAACCCTAGCGTAGCTTCGTCCACTTGTCCCTGTTTCATTATTTTTTCACAAGCAACAAGGAAGCAAATTAATTATATTGATTCGGTACATTTATCTTTCATGCATCTATATATATATATATATGCTTCTATCGTAGGCAATCCCACTACTTGCATCTATCTCAACGGCCAGCACAAATGAAATAATTTATTTTTTAATCCCAAAAGAAATTGTATGTCTGGCGTACGATAAATATATATATATTTCAGGCTAGCGTACGTCGTACATTGTACGTCCGTTGAGTTTTACTGTTTAGAGCACGAATTAACCGGAGTTTGGGGAATAATACTATATCCTAACCTCTAATGGGTACCCCAATCCCTAATTCTCTGTCCTAAGCCACAATATTCATTTAATCTAAGAAAATAATAATCGGCGATTCTGATTCAGCGAAATATATTGAATTTCAAAAACAAAATGTGAACACATACATGCAACATACGCCTGACGTATGCTAGCCTATATATGACAAAAGCTAGCGTACGGTGTACGGCTGTGTTCACACTTGATTTGTGCGCTAAGATGAGTACGTTAGTTGCGACTAAGTAACTTTAATTAATGAATGAAGCGTACGCTTCTTCGGACGTCCGGGACTGCGCCAGGGCAGTCTTGAGGGCTGCCACCGCTGTTGGTTTGGGGCCACATCCCATGAATGGTGAACGTCCGAGGAATCCTGGGCTTGCAACGGGCACCGGGTTGGTTGCAGAACGCCGGAGGCCATTGCATGACCAAGTAGAAGAAGTCGAAGTTTTGGGCGTTGGAGGTGGGAGCTAGGAAGCTCAACCAGCTGCAGGCAACCACGGCGGTGGCTACAGCAATCCCATTCACCTTCATGCTTCTCATCTTCGTTTGAGAGACTGATAATGCATGTGAAACATATAGCCACTGACGCCGGGGCCGCGTTTTATATGGACTGGTGAAGTACTGTTGCTGAATGGTAAGCGAAAGCAAACGTTTGTGTACAGCAGGCACTTCTTTCGTCTGGGCTACCGATTCCATCTAACCCGATTGATGCTTCTGGGTTTCACCTTTTCTTTTCTTTTTAACAATGCTTCTTTGTTTTTGTACGTAATAGGTTCAGATTTGTTGGGGGTCAATTCTATATATTATACATGCTTGACTTTCATCTTACCCGTGGGAGTCTTCAATTCAACTATATATGCGCTCGATCTGCTACAATCACATGGGAATACTATGGTGCCGGCCTGTGTCGCACATTAGTAACCGGCTACTGCAAGTTTGGTGAGGAAACAGGTGAGAGAAACGTATTACAAGTGGAGGGTTTTTTATTGGGAACGTGTGTTTTCTTTCCTTCAATTTTCTTTTCCAAAGATTCTGCATTTTTTATTTTTATTATTGATTTTATGGTTGATCTGTAACGGTGTAACTTATATGTGAATTAATAGGATACAAAACTATATTCTACAAAATACTATAAAATCCTAATCAATGGCGGATCCAGGGGTGGCCACCCCGGGCCCCGGCCCAGCCCTCCTCTGAATCCATAGTTAGTATAGGCTTTATGAATTTTTCGATTTTAGATATTCGGATCGTTGTTATTTTAAAATAAGATTGGGTATAATTAGAAAAATAATTCAGATGAACATATTCAAAATCACTACTCTAAATTTAGCTTATAAATTCTAACACCAAAGGTTATTCATCTAAAAAAACAATGAAACCTAAAAATTCAAAAAGTTTAAAACGTAAAAGACTAAAACATATATGAGGTTTGTTACCTTGAAAATTTACTAGAGCAGCGGGTGGATATAGGGATGGAAACACAATGCAAATTGATTAGTAGATTGATTTGTCTAGTGTTGATACTACTCGTTTCAACAGCTAATACGAAGAGAACCTTTTCAACAATGAAACATGTGAAAATTGATTTGCGCAACAAAATGAGCGATGAATTTCTAGTCGATTGCTCAAGTATTTTATTTGAAACGATGTATAATATTGGTATGGATGTGGACTCCATTATTAATGCATTCGCTAAATTAAATTACCATCGTGTACAATTTACATTGTAAAAATATTATAATCATAATATTTTTTTACTATTTTAATTTTCTAATAAAATGTGGCCCAGTGCACTTCTGTGTTATGGATCCGCCGCTGATCCTAATATGTTGTCATCCAATAAAATTTGATCTAATGACTCACAATTAATAAAAAATAAGAAGTGGTACAAACTACAAACTCATAGTTTCGCGCTCCTTTGTTTTATTTAGGGTTAATTGCAAGGTTGGTCACTAGAATTACAAAAAACGTTCATGTTTGGTCACTAAAAATATTTAATTCCATTCGTGGTCACTAAAATTAGTTAAATAGTTCGAGTTTGGTCGCTCTCCGTCCAACTCCATTAACTTTGTGTGACGTGGCAGTCAACTCTTATAGTTGACCGTTAAATGTGTGACGTGGAAATTAAAAAATATTTTAAAAAATAAAATTTAATCTTTTAAATTTCCACCTCATTTTCACAACAATAAAAAATAACATTTTAATTTCCTAGGTCCTCTAAACGAATTGAACCAGAAAAGAGGAAGAGCTTGCATCCACAGCTCGATGGTCACGATGCTCTCTGTCCTCCAACACTCGTCTTGCCCGCAGAACATAACTTCACTTCGTCGCCTCCCAATCCCCCAATGCGTCGGTAGCCACCATCTCTTCTTTGTTCCATAATCTGAACTTCCAGGTCTACTCCTTCAATGACTCCTTCGAGGCAGACAATTCGCAGGGGAGTATGTTGGTGAGGGAGTTGCGGGCGTAGTTGAGAGGGAAGTCGAGCGCGGAGCAGATGGAGGGAGCGGTGAGGAAGATAGCCACGGCGCTGGGACCTTTCGTGGGAACTGGGAATCATCCGAGTATACCTCACCGGGGTAAATCTATCGGAGGAGGACCTAAATTTTACAATCTTTTTCTATTCTTTCACTTTCCCCATTTATAAAATCTATAACCTAAAATTTCCAAAGCCTTTAATCCAATTTCAAAACCTGCCATTTATCTTCCCCCAATGCTACCGATGGAGAGTTCGCTCCTCGAACTTTTTCGACTTTCTGAAAATTGGATTGGGGATACAGAGCAATAGCAGCAGCCTTAAACGGCCTCCTTTATTTGGAACTTCAAAAATGCTTATGGATAGTTTTATGGCTGTGAAAATCTTGTTTGTGTGTTCTGGGCATCTTTGATTGAATTTGTGTTGGTGAATCGAGAAAAGGATCTAAGCTAGGAAGAGCGGGATTCAGCTTGTTTGTCTTCCTCTTCCCGTGGTGACATCGTCGGAAAATTCAAATGAGGATCCTAGAAAATTTAAATTTTATTTTTTTAATTGGTGTGAAAATGATTTTTTATTATTATTATTATTTTTTAATTGCCACGTCACACATTTAACGGTCAACCATAAGAGTTGACTGCCACGTCAAACAAAGTTAACGGAGTTGGACGGAGAGTGACCAAACTTGAACTATTTAATTAATTTTAGTGACCACGAATGGAATTAAATATTTTTAGTGACCAAATATGAACATTTTTTATAATCCCAATGACCAACCTTGCAATTAACCCATTTTTTTATTTGCTTTTTTAGTGACATGGATCTAGAGCAGAGTAAATAGATTTTTTTACAAGTTAAAGATTACTATTTTAATTTCATATTTTTCTTAATAGAATCATAACTCATTCGTTTTAACTTGTAATATATAAAAAATTTGTATAGAAAGAATAAATTATGATATACAAATAAAAATCGAAAGTCGACTATATGGTTACGGTTAATCGACTAATATAAATGATGCAATTAATAATAAGCACAAAGTCTTAACAGTTAACCGAGAATCGACTCAACAGTTATAACCGAACCGAATCAATTTTCAATCCCAATGGTAAGACTTCATAATACAGTCTCACTACTGTCATACCATGATCTTACCACTATGGTAATACTGAGAACACCATTATACCAATGTCATATCATGATATTACCACAGTAATAATATTATGATGATATGATAGTGGTAAGATGATGTGAAATTGTTGGCTCCAAAAAATCAAAATGGATATATCTCTTAGAACACAAAAAATTGATTTTTCTATGCAAAACATATCAAAATCGTGGATAAAAAATTTGTGTTTTGGTCGAATATTCAAAAATGGACTTTTTTTTTTTTGACAAAAGATAATCCATTAGATCAAACAATGAAAGTTACATCCTGGAAGACAGCCAGGCCTGAAAATCAAAGAAACGGCAAGTAGCCGGGTACAAAGACAGGGCTTTCCTAGCCACCAAATGGGCTACCCTATTGTTACTCCGACCTATAAACCGTACACAAAAACCAGAGTGGACAGCTAAAAGATTTACAACTTCTTGCAGAATTGCTCCCATCTGGCTATCACCTGCATCCGCCCTATTAAGTTTATCAATAATGACTTTGGCGTCGCCTTCAAACTGTACCTCTGTAAAGCCCAAGCTGAGGCACCACCTAATGGCCTCACGAAGAACCAACAACTCGACAACCGGAGGACTATCAATATGAGGGATCTGAAATCCTGCAGCCAAGACCGGATCCCCATTAGCATCCACCAACACCATCCCACCCGCCGAATGAGAACCTGACCTCGTCGCCCCATCCCATCTACACGAGGCTTGCCCAGTGGAAACCAACGACTGAGGTCCTGGGAGAGGAGCCAACAGCGGCTGAGGGCGATCGACAGGCAGGCTAACCCATTCCTCAAATTGTTGGTTAAATTGTCGAATCAAGGCCGGGATCCCAAACTGTTTGCCCTCAAAGACTACCCAGTTCCTAGATCGCCAAATCCTCCAAAGAACAGCCACAACTTTCATAAACAGAGGGGCCTGGTGCACTAACGCCATCAATCGCTTGAGGAAAAAGGGAAACGTATGCCGAGGCAACCCTTGGCCAAGATATTCCAAACCCGATAAATCCCAAAGGGCGCGCGCCACTGGACACTCCAGAAACAAATGTTCCATGGTTTCGGATTCCGCCCAGCAGACCGGGCACCGAGGGAGAACCTCCACTCCTTTCTCCCGAAGAGCTTCAGTGGTTGGGAGGATTCTATTAAAGATTTGCCAGCAGAAGACCTTTAACTTAGGAGGGATATTAGCCTCCCACAAGCGAATCCAGCTAGGTTTGTCCATCCATCCTGCCAACTGGCGCCACCGACCATTACTTCTCTCGATTGAAACTGCTAAATGATAGGCAGACTTCACAGTGAATACCCCATCAGTCGTGGCATGCCAGATCAATCTATCCTCTAAATTCTGCCGCGGCAGGGGAATAGCTCTGATTGCATTACACGTATCCGGGTCAAACCACTGAGTAAGTTTCTCCTCCGCCCAGCATCCGCCCTCCAGGCTGATTATTTCAGACACAGTCGGGTCCCCACCTTCCGGCAGCACCCGGGGGTTAAACCGCACCAGCCAGGGGTGCACCTGCGGAATCCAATTAGAGTGAAGGAGAGAAGCAGCTTACCCATTCCCTATCTGCCAACGTAACCCCTTCTCTAGCAGCTGACGACCATAAAGGACACCTTGCCATCCCCAAGACGGACGGGATCTAGCCGTAGCCGAGCGGAAGGAGGAATTTGGAAAATACTTCCCTTTGTACACCTGAGCTAACAAAGAATCCGGTTCAGTAAGGATACGCCATCCAATTTTCGCTAAGAGGGCCTGATTAAACTGCTCAAATCGGCGAAAGCCCATACCCCCTTCGTGCTTACTTCTGCACATGTTACGCCAAGAGACCCACCGAATTCGAGAATGCCCTTCCTCATCACCCCACCAGAAACGCGCCACATGCTTGTCAAGAAGACGACACAGGGAAAGTGGGAGCCTGAAACAGGACATGACGTGTAGAGGTAAAGCTAGCGCTATTGATTTAATCAAAGTCTCTTTAGCCGCCCAAGAAAGCGTGCGCTGCTTCCACCCCTGAAGCCGTTCCAGCAATTTCTCCTCCAGGTACCGAAAGGTAGCCATCTTTGATCGAGTTATGAGGGTGGGCAATCCTAAATACTTATCATGCACTCCGACCGCCCCAACCCCCAGAATCTGGGCCAGGAACTCTTGATCTGGCAACGAAACGTTCTTACTAAAGCAAACCGCTGACTTTCCCAGGTTTACCCTCTGGCCACTGAGTTCCTCATATTCATTCAAGACTGTTATCAGGTTCTCACATTCCTGAAGAGTGCCCCGAAGGAATAAGTAGGAGTCATCAGCAAAGAAGAGGTGAGAGATCCTGGGAGCCCGAGGGGCAACCTTAACTCCTTCCAGCCGCTTCTCAGAAATTGCTTGCCGAAGCAGAGCCGCAAAACCCTCAGTGCAGATAACAAAAAGCAAAGGGGATAGGGGGTCGCCCTGGCGGAGTCCTCTAGTCGGAGAAAAATAACCAGAGGGGTTCCCATTCATAAGAATAGTAAACGACGAAGATCTGAGACATTCATGGATCCTATCTCTCCAGACAGAGCTGAATCCCATTTTATCCAAAACGCCAAGAAGAAAGGCCCACTCAACTCTATCATAGGCCTTTTCCATGTCTACCTTTAGAGCCATGTAGCCTTTCTTACCTCGAGTTTTGATTTTTAGGTAATGCATCAACTCATGCCCGAGAAGGACATTATCAATGATCTGGCGTTCCCGAATGAAGTCATTTTGTCCTTCCGAGATGATCTGGGGAAGCATCGTAGCGAGTCTCCCTGCCATGATTTTGGTTATGATCTTATAGACAAACTGGCATAAACTGATCGGGCGGAGCTGGCGCATAGTCTCCACATTATCGACTTTGGGAATCAAGGTGAGCCAAGTATGATTAAAGCTGCGGAGCATGCGACCAGTCGCAAAGAACGAGCAAACCGCCTCAGTAACAGAATCGCCCACAATATCCCAAAAAGCTTTAAAGAACTTCCCAGTAAATCCATCGGATCCGGGCGCCTGCTTTGAGCCCATAGAGAAGACTGTGTTGCGAACTTCCGCAGGGAGGACTTCAGCAGTCAGCAGATCATTCATTTCAGGGGTAACACTACGAGTAATAGGCAGAGCCGCCACTCTTTCAGACATATTAAGGACCTGGTTTTCAGAGGTAAATAAAGTCTGATAGAATGTATCAGCCATCGCAGCCTTCTCGCGTTCTTCCGTGACCCACTCCCCTTCCTCATTTCGTAGCCCAGCCACAAAGTTTCTCTTCCGTCGAACCCGAGTGACCGTATGGAAATACGAAGTATTCTTATCACCTCTCTTCAGCCATCTCACCCGGGATTTCTGTTGCCAATAAACCTCTTCCGCTTCCCATTGTCTACTTAACTCGACCTCCAAACGTTGAACCTCTTCCCAATCAATAGGGAGATATGACTTAATTCTATCAATCTCAGATTGAAGAGTCTTGATGTTGCGCAAGGAGTTCGTCGTACCAGCTCGGCTCCAGTCATATAGCAGGTGACGGAGCTTCTTAAGGCGTTCCCAGAGGCAAAACATGGGAGTACCATGCACCTCTTCCTGCCAAACATAATTGACCATTGCCCTTACCTCAGGATTATCGGCCCAACGGGCATCAAAACGGAACAGGGGGCGACTAGCTCTGGCATAGATCTAGTCTGAGAGAATCAAAGCTCTATGATCTGATCCCTGATCCGTAAAATGTTTGAGAATAGTATCAGGGAAAAGGTCAATCCAAGACTGAGAGCACAAGGATCTGTCTAATCTCGCACGAATGCACGCGGGGCCCATCCGCTTATTAGTCCAAGTAAAAAGGTCACCCTGGTAGCCAGGGTCATGCAACCCTAGATCCTGAATAAAGTCCCGAAGACTAATAGCTTGGGCGGCATTCCAAGGAAGCCCACCATCCTTCTCACTCTCATGGAGAGTCGTGTTAAAATCACCAATTACCACGAAAGGGAGTTGAATGTTTGCGCAAATATCACGAAGCTGAATCAGCTGGGAAGCTCGGATCGCAAGATTACAACTAATGTAGACAAACACCACCACATAGGAAACAATTGTTTCATTAACTTGAACACAAATACAAAAATCAGAATGAAATAACACCGAAGCGTCAACCCCGGGGGACCAAGCCGCTACTAACCCACCAGATGCATCAATCGCATCAACAAAAAAACAACGAGAATGAGCAAAACCTAAACCCCGCATACGACGGGAAACTACTCTCCGGCACGAACGTGTCTCCGAAAAGAACACCAGGTCCGGTTTATTGGAATGCAGTAAACTAACAACAGATTGGAATGTGAGGGAAGGTCCAATGCCCCTCACATTCCAGGCGAGAAGCCTCATTTATTCGGTTGGGGCCATTCACGGCTGGCTTCCTCCACCGAATCAGGTTCCACGTTCTCTTCCACGAACTGCTTCTTTGGGGTAGGGTTCTCCGCAGTCGCCCCATCCATCTCGTCAACATGACGTTTTTTGCTCCCCAACCCTGGGTCCGACAGGTTGGACCCATATTCATTGAACCCAAGGTTCTCAGGGTTCGCCGCTTTGCCATTCACCCCTTGCTCCTCATCATCTGCCGCCAGAGAGCCGATTGGTTGGACCAGTCCCGGGTCGGTTACTGAATCGGTCATGGACGGCCCATTTTCGAACGCCTCAACAACTTGGCGCACACGATTTGGTTGGTGTAGCCGCTTAAATTTCTTTTGCAGCACTGGTTCACGGCGACGAACTTCGAAGCCCATCGCCTCACCCTCCATTGACTCTTCCTCCGACTCCACCATAGCAGGGTTGTCCAATTGGACTTTCGGCCCAACTGAATTATTCCTGGCCGAGGCCATGCCCACCAACTCCCCATCCAATAAATCGTCCGCCACCACTTCAGCATCCCGCTCTTCCTGGGCCAAAGCCTGCTTCTTGGACTGGGTTTTCGAACCGTGGGTCGCAGCCAAAGGGGCGCCCTTCACCGTGCCAGACCTCTTCTTAGCAACACTTTTTTTCTTCGGGGAAGGATCTCCCTTGGCCTGCCCACTTCTCCTCTTAGAGGAAACGGCGCGGATGGCAACAGGAATCGCGGCTTGGCGAACAGGCTTTGGTTCCGGAGCATCGTGCAACACGAACTCCTCTTCCGATTCATCTTCCAGGAGAAGGCGGCGGCGACGGGAGATAATTTGCTCCTCCATGCTCACCTCCGGAAGGGCCACATGTTTCTTCTCCCCCTGCTGCGCGATGCCCGGCTGAATCTCCTGCATAGCGACCCTAGCATCCCGGCTCACCGGAGGCTTCTTTCCCATAGCTCGAGCCAGCCTAGGGCCAATAGCACCCTGAGTCTGCAGCCCAGTGTCATCCGCAGCTAATTTCCGCTGCTGCCCACGGCGGCCAAGATTGCCCAGGGAGATTCTAGGGGATTTCGACACAGAAATCCGAAACGGGCCCTTCTCCCTTTGATATTGTGGTTCGACGGATTGGAAGGGGTTTTTCGATGTGCCCATCCAAAGTGGGCTCTCTTCTACAGCAACTTGTTTCGCATGAGAGCCCTCTCGTTTGGAGTCAAGAGCCCCCCGAGGTGCAGTCACCGGGTTATCCCTCACAGCCTTATTGATCCAAACCGATGTTGGCTGATGTGGGAAATACTGATCATCTTCCCCATCTTCACGCAGCTTTTTCCCCATTTTCTTTGTTGTCATGTGGTTACCAAAGCGCTCTGTCCTCGAAGGCGGATCAAAAGAGCAATCCGGTCGAGAATGCCCAAGGCGGCCACAATGATAGCAAAAAGTTGGGAGGAATTCGTATTTGAAGCGAATCCAGAACTCCCCGATCTCCTCATTTGAGGCCAGCACCTGGGAACGAAGAGGTTTGGAGAAATCCAAAACAGCCTTCACCTTCACAAAATTTCTCCTCGAATCCGTGCACAAAAAGACTCCAGTTTCCAGGACCCTCCCTAGCGTAGCGGCCGCAACTTTACGCCCGAACTGCTGCGTGCAGCATTCGTCCTGAACGTCCCACAGCTGAACTCGGAACGGGACAAAAGCTAGCTCGTCGAAAGTGCGCCTCGTGATGGACGGGTTCCAAGCACATAGATGGAGCACTTTATCATCCATCACCCACGGGGTCCTTTGGAGAACCCAATTCCGAGCCGTTTGGTTTGGGAACACGAACTCAAATAGTCCGTGAGCAGCCAAACGAACAATAACACGACCCCGAGCTTGCCATGGAGTGTTGATCGAGTCCCGCAGCTCCGTGAGGGTTGTGTTGTGATCAGTGAACAGGCGGCCCAGGAGCATTTTGGCACAACGGGTTCGGTCGGACTGAACCTCCTCAAGCGAGAAGGCCACGACTTGATCACTAGCAGCATGAACCATGGTGGAGAGCTGCAGGGCCAACAAACTATCAGAACGGGAGCAAACAGGGGAAGACAGGGAGGTGGGAATCGGGGGTGCAAAGTGATAAAGCGGGAAGAAATCCCTATTAATCTCGAACGAGGCTTTAAGGGAAGAGGAGACCCACGTACCAGGTAAGTGCTTAGGGAGCTGAGTCGCCAAGCTTAAGTGAACCTCCTGAGATCCCCCACAATCAGTAATGCGAATAATGGGAGCTGGAACAGGGTCACAATTTAAATAGGCTGGAGAACCGCGTTGATTCAACGGTTTGGGGAGTCCTACCGGGGGTGGGTCTTCGAAGCCATCCTTATCGAGAAATAATTTTTGAAAAAGATCCCCCAACTCCGGGGGATACGCTGAGAATCGTGAGAATCAGCCCCTCTCCGAGGGATCCGGGGTTGGTTAAAAACCCCCAAAGCAGTTACCCTCACTGGCCGGCCGCTACCGACCGGATTCGACATAAACAAGCTCGTCGGCCGGACTAGGGTAATTTTGCCGGCCAACACACTTCCAGGCTTCTTTGTGGACGATCCCACATAATTTTGAGGTTTAGGAACCATCGCACTACAGTGGCCAACACTGTCAATAATCTGAGCGGGACATCTCGTCCCTGCCACAGTAACTTCTATAATCAGGTTTTGGTGTAAAACCCCCTGATCAGATTTGCCGATCACGACAACCGTCGGGCCGCAGCACCCTGCCGGCTGTTGGGTGGACGCCCTCACCTCAATACGGGGTCTAGGCTCCGATACATTACTGGGGCCAACATTCTCATTTTCCTTGTTGGGGTTCCTCAACACTTCCTCTTCAAACTCCAGTTCAACCGGAGTAGGAAGGCGAAACCGCCATCCCGGACGATCTGCGAGACGTCCCCTTTTGGGCAAGCGGCCAGTCGTACTACAGACAAAGGTCAGGGGAGAGACCAATTTGCGCTTCCGGCTTCTGTTGTTAGTGCCCGGGCTACAGCGCGCCTCGTCGCCCTGCCGCGTCAGACGAAAGAGCAATTTTGAATCGGTGGCCTCTTTGAGGTTACCACTTGACTTAGTTTCCCCTTAATATTCATACAATGTTGGTTTATATCGCTGTCTTTATTTTTTCTATCAATACCGCGGGCACTATACAATTTCTCCATCCATACCATGAATATAACCTATATGGAAATAGGAAAATTAATATGCGTTGCGTAAAGTAGTTGATGTTAATACTTAACAAAAATATTTGAAAAATAAATCAATAATTGTGAAGTGTGTTTTTATTGTATTTGGTGTTAGTGGCCCACCAATTTTTTTGTTGTGATCGAACATATTGGTAATTACTATCTTAAAACGGTCGCCATTATATGTTAACAGTTAACATAGTTTCTATCAAAATGATCATGATGGTGTAATCAATCGACCGGATGAGCACATAGGTCGACCGAATTGTGCAAGTCACTCTGTATTACATGTTGTCACCATAAGAGTACCTTAATATTATCCAAAATATTAAAACTAACGACACAAATGTTATAAACCACGGGTGTACTGCAGTAAATAAATAACAATGAAATGCATCTAATAAAAAAATTAAAATGCATAATAGAGAAATATATAAAGTAAAATATTTAATAAATAAAAGTAATTATGATCTGCGTCCTTTTTAAAAGGAAAAACTGGCTACGACAAAAAAAAAGGAAAACCGGCGCTAGTGATTAATTGATAGGTGGCACCGGTACAAGGCAGGAGATAAGGTCAGTAACCAAGCGTTTACTGACATGTTAGTAATAAATAGGGACTGTAGATCTAGGAGCCAAACAATCGTGCGGTTGGGCCAGACACTGGGTGGGGAAGGGTATTTTTGTCTGTTTATACGTTAAATTCTTTATCTTTTTTTTTTCCGTATTTCATGGCTACATTTTCAAAGAAGGAAAGAGAAATCATCACTTATTTGCAACTCTCATTTTATCTTTCTCTTTCCTTTTTCTCTCCCAATCTTTTTTCCATATCTTTTCTCTTTCTCTCTTCCTTTTTCTCTCTCAATCTCCTTTCTAGATCTAAATATGCTCCATTCTCTTCTTCTTCATTTTTTTTTGCTCCAGGACGAATAAAAATTGCAGCCACTCTCTTTCATTGCATTTTTTCTCTTCATCAACTCGTTGGCCTCAATCCCGATCTTTCTCATTTTTTCGGCATTTTGGTATTTTTGATTGCGGAAGAGGAAATGAGAGGCGACAGAAGACAATTTTTTTCTATCCCTCCTTTTGTTTTTTTTTCTTTTAAACAATATATATTGATATTAGGGTAAATACAATTTAATATCCAAACCTTTCATTTTAAACAATATAATAGTCAAACCTTTTCGAAAACAATCTAATATCCAAATCGTCAACTTTTCGTTCGTTTGACCGTTAGTTGACACTTCAAAAAAGTTCGAGGTACAACGCTTCATCAATATTCATCGATATCTTCTCTGAAAAACCACCAACATATCGTGGTTCCAAACCCGAGAAGTCCATGACTCCACCATGATGGTATAGAATATCTAAATATTCAGTCATCTGTAATGCCAAAACAAGAAAACAAAGTTGTATTGTGACAATTTCCCCTAAACAAAGCTTTTTTGAAGTGTCAACCAACGGTCAAACGAACGGAAAGTTGACGATTTGGATATTAGATTGTTTTCGAAAAGATTTGGCTATTATATTGTTTAAAATGAAAGATTTAGATATTAAATTGTATTTACCCTTGATATTATGACTCTATACCTTATGGTATTGGGTGGTAACGAAATATATATTGATATTAACACACTATACCATATGGTAATGTATGGTATTATGTGGTAACTGGTAACAAAATATATATTGATATTACCACACTATAACATATGGTATTGTGTGATATTACCGCACTATACCATATGGTATTGTGTGGTAACGAAATATATATTGACATTACCACACTATACCATATGGTATTGGGTGGTAACGAAATATATATTGATGTGGCAAAAATTTTCATACCATATGGTATGGTCTTATTTAATACCAGTCAATACCATATGGTATAGACTGGTAATAACTGACAAAAAATTTTATGTCCAACAAATATCAAAGTGGATATAATTTTGAAGAGCACAATTAATCTGATCTAATTGTGCAAAAAAATTAAATTCAGACTTAAAACAAGTGAGAAATCGTCCGTTAAAGATTAAGAAAAGGAAAATTAAAGGTTTTCTGAGGAGAGAGAAGGAGGCGCCGATGTGGTCCGGTCAAAAGTTAGCATTAACAATAAATATAGGGTAAGTGCAATTTTACCTTAGTGCCCTTTCGCATTTAATTTAAATAAAAAAGGATTGACACATGAAGACAAGGAAAGAGGTTGTTGACGCCTGACGAATTATTGACCTAATCTGCTCCCGGCACAATGCCGGCATTACAGAATTCCCGCAATCACATACATCTCTTAAATAATCATGCACAGAAATAAACACAATATTGGAGGTTAGTAATGGTTGCGAGATGTAAACATAAATGAAAAAGAGACAACCTAGCTAGGATAAATTAAAATGAGATTGACGAGAATAGAAGCTCGAACCGTTAAGTTGGTGATAATGTTTTTGTTTACACAAAAAAAAAAATATTTTTTATTAATTATCATAAGTGTTCTTGTGCATGGTTTAGGTCGCTTTAAGTAGCCAGCCCATATATGTGTCGAGTTGTTTGAATTATTTGGCTGGATTGTATGAGGTAGTCATCAGATCGATATGATTATTGTATCAACTATATGATCGTCCATGTTCCATTCATTCATCATCATGGTAACTGTCCAATTACTAAGTAGATGGTGTGAAAAACCAGTAGATCCCAATAACTCGATTTGTTGTGAGAGATTCAATCGTGGATCATATACTACACATTAACAGACCCCCTCAAACGAAAGCCAGTGAACTCATAAGGGCTTTCGTTTGCACATGTTCTAAACACGGAATACATGTGCTTCACAAATGGTGTCACCAGGATTCGAACACAAGACCTCTCGGTCATAGAAAGCTCTGATACCATGTCAAACTTCAAGAAATCAATATCCTAAGGGCCCGTTTAGTATTGTTGCTTGTTTTTGTTTCCTGTTGTGTTTTACGAAATTTGGAAAACCAAGAAAAAAAATCGTGTTTAGTTGGGTTTTTATTTTTTGTTGTGAATCAGAGTTGCACAACAAGGCCCAAATATGAGAAACAACAATTTATAGCTTTGGATCTGATTCTTAAACATGTTGCACACGGGATTCCTACTGGTTGTGCGCTTGATTTCATTAAAAGAGACCAGTTTTCGAATCCCCACAGAAGCAAAAATTTTTCTTTTTTTTTTAACATATCCGCCCCCTCCCAAAACCCTACTTCAGCCGCCCTTTTACCATTTTCCATCTTCTTTGTCGAGACTCATCAGCCGCCCAAGCTTCTTCTTCTCCGCAAGAACGTCCGACTCTGGCCAGCGGCGCCTCCGCCTCCGGCCCGCGCAGCCAGCCGCTCGCCTCCGCCCAGCCCAGCCGCGCGCCTCCTCCCAGCTCAGCGCCGCCAGCCGCGCGCCTCCGCCCAGCCCAGCGCCGACTAGCCTCCGCCGGCCGCCGACCAGCCGCGCGCCTCCGCCGGCCACCGATCATCTCCCCGCAGCAGGTAAAACAAACCATTTATTAAATGTATTATGTTAATATTGTTGCTTCTTAATATGTTCTTGAATTATGGTATGTATGTAGTGATTGCTAGACTAGTTATTTGTGAATTTGGATTGATTGCTATGTTCTTTGTGAATTTCGATTGATTGCTATGTTCTTTGTTTTGTGGTTTATTAAATGTATTATGTTAATTTCGATTGCGTACATATTTCTTTTTCTGGTTTTTAGTTCTTATAGTAGTAACTAAACGCGTTTTTGTTTCTTGTTGTCAGCTTTCATGATTTTTCAGATTTATCAACTAAACAGGTTTGTGTTTTCTGTTTTTTTCCTGTTGTGGTTGTACATCTGTTTACAAAACACCACTGCAACCACAACAGCAACAAAATGATACTAAACGGGGCCTAAACAAGCATTGAACACGAGATTTACGTGGTTTTGCCAACAATGATCGTTGAGACTAGTCCACGACACAAGGCGTTAGGTTATTTTATTCAGCAAAATATCCAAGATACCTACAATAAGTCTCTAAAAGACTATATATATGTTTGGCAATCCCCCAGGCCTACTCCTCTTATACACGAAATATACAGGGACAATTACAAAACAGCCCCAAAATTTCTAGCTTCTAACACCCTCCCTCAAATTGATTGTTTTATCCCAACTAGCATCGTTCCGTCAAATACAGCGTTACATCGTACAAGTGATTGCAATACAGTTCAAATTTCGGGGACGAAATTTTTATGAGGGTGGAGGAAATGTAACACCTCGACATTTGGGTTGAGATTCGAGCGAACGGTTGGATCGACAGTTACGTACGTAATGTTGGAACCGTAAATTATAAATAATAATAATAACATTAATAAATATTATTATTATTATTATTATTATTATTATTATCACCATCCGTTTCCCATCAGGGCAAACACATTAGAATGGTTATGATTCTTAACAATAATCATCTTGCTCCACTCGTGTTCATTAAAGCATTAGGAGGGAAAAAAAAGTAATAATAATTAAAGAAACCCAAAATTCCACCGTTACACTCCATCTCTCTCGGACTCTTCCTCTCTCCCTAACCTCCCGAATCCCCCGTTCCTTCGTCTTATTCAGCGCAGTGGGAATAGAAGAGAGGAAAAGAAAGGAAACCTAAAACTAAACCCCCAGTCCTCCAACTCCCTCGCGTGCACTCCTTCCTCCGGCGAAAACAACAGCGAGAAACCCCACCCTCATCTCCGACGTCGACAGGCAGCAACCGCCCGACAACCAGCGCCACCACTCCGCTTCCCTCGCCGGCAGCAACAACATCGCCCTCACTGACGATCCCAACCCAGCAGTCCTCGTCGCGCGATCCAAGCAACGGTAGCAAAAAGAAAACCCCAAACTCGCCGCCGGCTGTCCGTCCTCGCTTCTGTGTCTCCGACGTAGCCGCCGCCCGACCATCTTCTTTCCAGCCTATTCGAATAGTTCAGGTATCAAGTCTGCCTATTTTAAAAGTACAAGGACTTATTCGGAGATTATGCTGCAGTCTGCAAGAAAATGTTCAGCTTAGACGTCCATAATTTAGTACGAACAGCTTAGTCCCCTATTGTTTTGAAAAGTGACGATGGGCCAAAAATAGCATTTTATCAAGATTATTATTATTTTAGTAATTTTACAGTATTTATTTTCGTGAGGTGATAATTTTATAAATAGTATAAAATCAAGAGGATGGTTGAGTATTAATCTGAAAATTTTCGGAGCTGCTTTTCTATTTATAAAAATAGTTAGAAAAACGTTTTTGGTAAATTAAGGTAGGTTGCGAGCGTTTTCGTAAATTTTGGAATTTTTCCTGGAAGCTAGGCGCTGTTCTGGTTGTCCATAAATTTGCGGGGAATTTTTAGAGTCGTGCTGTTATTTTTAAAAAAATTAAAATGATAACATGTTTAATCTATTTAATTACTGTATGAGTTATTTTTATTAGTTTGTTAGTTTTGTGCAATACTAGAATTGTGGTTGCATGTGGTAAAATTAAAATCGAGAATTTTAGGCACTGTTAGTATAGATCTAAAATTTCTTATTGGTAAAATTGAATAAGTAGAAGGAGTTATCAAGGTGTAAATTCTACTCGATAATTTTGGTTCATGTTTAAAGTTATTTTAAGTCAGAATTTGGAGTTCTTAAGAGGTAAAATGTGTTGAGAATTTTTTTAGATTTATTTATATGAGTTTTGAGATGACAATAGTAATTCTAGTCTTGTTAAAATTTGGGGGAAAATCACAGTATTTGAGAAAAATTATTTCAAGAAGTTCAAGGCTTTTTTTTAAAGAATTTTGGGACTAAGCTAGGAGGACGAAAAACTCTATGGAATACCGACTAAGAGTAATTAATCTCAATTGATAGGATTAAGGAAGCGATCAAGTTAAGGTTCTTCGCGTCCAACGAATTAAAGTATCGACACTTGAGAGGTGAGTGTAAAGGGGGTATATTCTACGCCTTACGGTTTTCAAATATTTGCCTTGAGTATTTTTGAGTAATGATTTACGTGATGTATGTGCAGTATTTGATTCATGTTTGAGATTGCATGATTATGGTAATGATATGTGCCTTGTTTGAATTATGACTTGAAGTGAATGGTTATTATTTACTTATGAATTTTGTGAGTATAAGTTATTGTAAAAGTTTAAGAAACAAGTTCTTTTTAAGAAGTAACTCACCTCAAGAAGGTGACGTCGTTTTAAGTGTTTTTAGTCACTAGCGCCAGTCCGTTGCCTTTTGAGACATTTTGAGATAGAGCAGCAGTTATTTTCTTGAGACTTTTAAGATGAGCAACAGTTATGCTCTTGAGAATCGTGGTGAAGAGCCACCATGATAAGTTTAAGATGTTAGGGGGATGAATCGTTACGACTCCCCTAACTAAGTTTAAGGAAAGCCTGGATGGCTTCTCATACGTATGAGTTGGGCAACCGGACTAGCTAGTGAGGGATCCCCGTGTCAGTCAAAAGATTTAAGTCAAGATTTGAGCTTTAAGAAGGGAGAGTAACTTTAACTCCCGAAGAATTTTAAGAGCTAAGATTGTTAAGAGTGGATGTACAAAACAACTTCCACTAGTAGAAGTTAAGAGTTTAGAGAAGAATACTAAAGTACTATAGATTTTAACGTAAGGGCGTAGACTGACCCCCAACTCACTTACCAGATCGTAGAGGAGGAAATCCTAACCAGCCAGTCCGTGATCAGCAAGCTAGAGGAGCTCAACACTATCGTCGCTGAGAGATGTCGAGCCAGGCGTCATAGTAAGCATCGGAGAACTTTTTAAGTTATTAAGACTTTATGGTTAAGAGTTAAAGATTAGAGATTCATTTCTTTTGGACGATTTAAGTTTTGCCCACGTGTTTAGGGCTTCAATTTGAGATATTAAGATATTTGAGTTTGGTATTTTATTTAAACTTGTGGTATTTGAGATTTTTTTTAATTATACCCCGGGGGTAGAAATGTATTTTTCCAAGTTCAAAGTAGTGGGATGTTTCATTGATGATGCTGACGCAACATCAATTTGTGAGCTAGAAATCAGTGACGAGCAGAGGCTACGACCTTCGTATGCATATCCGTCGGCTGATCCTCACATGAATATATGTAAGGTCGATGACACCATCTGTAACAAGCTGCCAAATATAATGGACATGCATCTCGATATGTTTCGTACGATCATGAAGCACCGGATTAGTGGCAATCTTGATGGCGCTCGTATTTACACAACCTCATATGTAACTTAACTCATTGACCGATACTCGGCCTCGATGGAGGAATGCCTAATATTTACACACCAGCCTGAGGTCGAACGACGAGTATCCAGGCAGCCTGCATAGTCTGCATCAGCATACGCGACCAGAGTAGCTTCACCCCCAACAGGAAAGAAGAGACCCACCTCCAGAGTACCACAAAGATAACGGAGGATCCGCTGAACAGCATTCCAGTGACAAGTACTAGGATCAACCATGTACTGACTAAAACCTGAACAGTATATGCAATATCCGGACGAGTGCTGGTCACGTAAATGAGACTCACAAAAATACTGCGATAGATAGTACCATTTTCCAATAAATCTTCATCAGACTGACGGAGCTTCAGATTCTGCTCCATAGGCGTACCACTCGGAATGCACTCATCCATCCGAGCCTCATCGAGAAGGTACAACATACTTACGTTGACTCACATGGATACCAGCGGTAGAACGAGCAATCTCCAGACCCAAAAAAATAAGACAAATCCCCAAGCTCCTTGAGATTAAACGCCTCTCGCAGAATCACAGTAAGCTCATTAATGCCCTGCTGATCATCCCCACTAAAAACCATATCATCAACATAGATAAGAAAAACAATCAGACCATGATCTGTACGGCGAAGGAACAACGACGGGTCACTATCACTCTGAACAAAACCAGCACGCAAGACTGTGCTCTGAAGCTTCTTAAACCAAGCCCGAGGAGCTGCTTAAGGCCACAGAGGGAGCGTCGAAGCAAGCACACCATAGAATTGTCACCCTTGGTATATCTAGGAGGACGTTCCATGTAGATATTTTCCTTCAGTTCACCATGGAGAAATGTATTTTTGACGACTAACTGCAACAACCGCCAACCTTTCATGGCGGTAGCATCAAGTAAGCTCCGGACCGTTTGCATATTGGCAATCAGAGCAAATGATTTGTCATAATCCACACCATACTGCTGTTTGAAACCCTGAGAAACAAGCCAAGCCTAACTACGCTCAATAGAGACATCTAGGTTCTCCTTGAGAGCATATACCTACTTATAGCCGATCACAGGAATACCAGGAGGACGTAGTACGAGATCCCACGTATGGGTTGCATCCAAAGCATCACATTCAATAGTCCTGGCAGTCTCCCAACGGTCAATTCCACGAGCGTGCTTGTAGGTGGCAGGTACAAACACAGGCGAAGTAGTGGAGAAATCCACAAAGTATGAGTGACGAGGTGGAGTCTGGCCACGAGTGATGCGCTTGGAGCGCCGGAGAACATGGTTGGATGGACCCGAGGCAGTCAAGGAACCACTCACAGTCGAGGTAGAAGTGTAAGAAGAAGAGGCCTTGCCGATGGACTCAATAGAGGAAGATGAGGAACTGGAGGCAACGGTCGAAGGAGGAGAGGGCGGACCATCATCATCATCGGCAGCCATGGAGATAGATCTGAAACTAGGAAGAAAAGTGAGGAAGTCCAGGTCCAAACGATCAGGAGAGCTGCTCGCACCATAATAGAACTCGTGCTCTAGAAAGACCACATGACACGAGATACGAACCCGACGAGCTGCAACGTCGTAACATGCATAGCCTTTTTGCTTGTCGTTGTACCCAAGAAAGACACATCGAGCTCCTTGGGAGCAAGTTTGTGTCGTTCACGTCGAGGGAGAAGTACATAGCAAACACAACCAAACACACGAAGCCAGGAATAGTTGGGAGTGCGCGAATAGAGGGCCTGATATGGGTTGCACTGACCAAGGACGGGGGTAATCTGTCGGTTGATCAAATAGACAACAATATGGATGGCTCTTCCACCCAGAAACCAGGAGGGACATGGGAGTGGAAGAGCAGCGCACGAGTCAATTCAAGAACATGGCGATTCTTCTGCTCGGCCAGTCCATGCTACTGTGATACACCGGGAAATGATTGATGAGGAAGGATGCCCTTTTCGCGAAACAGAGCCTGCAAGGGATGGGAGGAAAACTCACCACCAGTATCTCAACGAAGAATGCAAATAACTTTGCCAAACTGCATCGAAACCATCTGGATAAAGTCCCCAACAATTTCAAACAGATCATACTTCTATTTGAGAAAGTAGACCCACGTGGACCTGGTAGCATGATCAATAAAGATAGAAAAGTAGCGAAACCCCAACCGAGCCTTCACTAGAGAAGGAACCTAAAGATTAGTATGTACCAAATCAAACGGTTCAGAACACTTAGTGGAACTAGGATGAAAAGAACGCTGAGAGATCTTAGTCTCCACTCAATGCACACACTCATGTCAAGAATATAGCAAATAGTACCTGACAACCAGTTTTCTTAAACATATAAAAAGACGTGTTTTATGGGGGTGGCCAAGTCTAAAGTGCCACAAATCCCAATTCGACAACTTAACCGAATAACCAGAACTGTCTAATGAAGATGAAGGTAACAAAACATCAGCAACAGGAGCACAATCCCCTCCTTGAGATGTGCGACCAGCATGCATGGGATCCCCTGAGAATGTGCCACCACGATCCATGCTAGTAACGGTCAAGGAGGAAAATCTGACCCTCTTACTTTCGCGTCCTATTTCCACAAACCGGTTACTCCGGAGCAACCCAAAACAGTTTACAAGTCAAAACCAAAAGTCAACAACCACAATGCTTAAGATTTTTAAGTGAAATGCCCCAAACACTTGGGCGACCTCAACCCAGAACAACAAAACATA